GTTCTTGGATGTATTTGCCGTTCAAATACTATTGTTATACAACTGCTAATTGCAACATACAATGACGCCTTATTTCTTTACTGCAAACCTTACAAATTACTTGTCTCCTTGATATGATGGAACTTCCTTAAGACATCTATCAAGCATTTAACGATAACTAATTTTCATTACGACAGATACCTCACATAAAAACGCAGACACAGTGATGCTCTTTTATACTGTGAAGGCAGATGGCGACTTTTCCACTGCCAATAATCTAGGAACAACTGTAGTAAAGTCATTCAACACTTTCACTACATATGTAACGTATTATGTCCTGTGGTTCCTAGTCTGCTTCCTTTCTTGCAAGCTTTGACAAGGTGTGACACAGACTCGTTAATCTTGTGAAAAAAAGGAATGTGGAAAAAAAAGATCCGTGGAAAGCAAAGAAATCATTGGAGAAGAAAGATTCCATCCCACTCCTTTTTAGTTTGTATGTCGATAATACAGTTTGTTGCAGCTCTATATATGATTCGAAGAAGCCATATAAAGGAAAACATGGTAATTTGAAACTTTGGTAATTTGAATCACATTGCTGGTAAGAATGTACCATTACACAGACAGCCCCATTGACACCTCAAAAGAACATTATATCAGACTCACACTTGGATGTTGGCCCAAATAGCTAAACCATAAATTTTTCACTAGATTAAAGTGGAAGTTTTTGATGAACCAACCTCTGCTAAAGTATTAAATGAGCGTCAGTGCTCATGCTGTTGACAAATACAATGTAGTAACAGTTGTACAAGGAACCAATCGTGAACCAACACTGGATGGGCTAGATGAATACATTAAAACAGCGTCCATTGTCGTTTAAATTATACAAAATTGGTCATGTCCCAATTGAGGTTGACTAATAATGAGTTGATTAGTGATATTTTGGAAGTAATCAATGACAGTATGCATCAAGTTTCGTAATTGTTAGCTTAGACATTTAGTTGAATGTATCCAACAATAAATTGTGGATTGTATTCGTCCTTTTTAACATCGACATACTTATACTACCCTTCATTTCATTTGCATAATTGAGACTACTTATTTTCATCTCCACTCAAGGATTTGATATTGTGTGTTTGTACGGTATTTCTGCTTTGTTAACAATTTAAACTTTACTCGTAACAACATCGTAATATATGTATTGTTATCATGCCGTCATTACAGCTGTATGCAGTTCAGTCACGTGAATTGATTCATATCTGTTGACTGTTATAAAAAACAACTACATAATGTAAAGACCATTAATTTGACATACTAGTATTACATTATAAGTCTGGACAAGGTTTCGAACTTGTGTTGCAACGTTGCAAAGTTAGAAGAGAATAGTTTAACGATAAAATCTGTAATACGGTATAAATACAGTATAAATGGTTTGTGGTTTGAATTGGTCTCTCTAATCTTCATGAACTGTTTTTTGACTAATTTGGATATGTTTGATGGTAAAAAATGCGTGTCAGAATTTATTAAAATGACCGTATATTCCACCAAATTTAATCAAATTTAAATAGGATTTTAAAAATAATATGGAAAAAATATTAAAATAAATTTCGCGACGTCATAAAAGACCGTAAAGAAAACACTGATTGAATCAATCAAATTTCCATCAACGAAGTTTATTAAGAGAAATAAAACGACATAAAAAGATAAATATCTCTACTAAAAAGCTGGTGCAACGAAGTTAATAGTTTAATAACCGATTTAATCAGACAAACGCCATATACATCAAATAAACGACTGTATCAGTTCGCCTCTGTCGCTCGGTGGCGCACTACTTGCTTCAACTTGTGCAGAAATGTTGAGTTGCGACCTGCGACTTCTACCTACATTCTGTCACTAGGAGGCGCAGTTTCAAATGAAAGATACTATTGTTGTAAACATGAATTCATTGAATTCAGTGAAGATAAATACATGCTCAATTATAATTAAATTAGAGAATTTTGTTGAATATTTAGAAAATAATTGATTTAAAAATGTGTAAAACATAATTAATATATAGCTTAATATATCATTCAGCAACAACAATAACAATAACAAGATTGGTTTGTCTCTTGATTCCCACCAATCACAGGCAGTGACTAAATGTATGGCTGCATTATGACCACAGATGAATAGCAAAGTTTAGAAAAAGAACTACAATAGTTTATACGCAATATGAATACGCCATGTATGTTGTTCTCATATTAAGCTATTATAAAGATATTCAGTGCTATTCAAATACCAGACTTCAAATTTGTCATATTTTGCAATATAGTTTGCCAAAGTAATTTTTCACAAAGAGATTATGAATTCTAGTACAATATGGCAACTCTCTAACGAACATTTAATGCATGTATGTACAACGCAGTCATCGAGTCTGTTACAGTCGTAGTGATGATGACGAGTATGTTGACAGGTATTGGAATATTAGAATACGGCAATACAAACCTTAAAATGGTGAGTAGTTCTCGCCGATATCTGTACACTAGTTTAAACAGGTGACCAAACAGTGAGATCGGCACAGTCACTAAAAGTATTCAAGTGATATGTTAATACATTCGATTAACAGTCCAAGCTGCTGAGAGCGTGTTTTTATTAATAAGTTTCGATCCCATAAAAGTTACGGTGATCATCAATACGCCATATTTGCACAGAGAAAAACAATATTTTAATTTAATTTTAATTTAACACTTTATTTAAAGAGGGTAGGCCAATATACAATAAAGTAATTTTCATTGGGCCCTCTGTAGGGACAAAAAATACAATATACATATTATAGGCTTGAGCCATTTACAACAAATTTTTCACTCAGATAAATTTTGTAGGTTTTCTTAAAAATGCCTAAAGAGGCTGAATTTCTGATATGGAATGGCAAGTTATTCCATAGGGTTACCCCTCTATACTGAAACGTCCTCTGACCCATGGATGTTTTCCATTTAGTAATGCGTAAATTATTTTTACGAGAGGAACGTGTACTATACTTGTGGGTTTGGGAGATAGGACTGAACATTTCACTTATATATAAAGGCGCCAAGCCATT